TCTAGACTGCATTTTACAAAGACTGAGAAAAGGATGCCTTCTATATTATGAGTCTCTGAAGTGCTGACACTTCACCTATAATTTAAGGGAGATTAGCCTGTGCAAGGGTTTGGTGTAATTTACCTGGTGACATCTCACCTAATCTTGCATCACCTTAACATGATCCTAGTACTATAGCACTGAAAGGCAAGCAAAATCAGGACATTGAACAAAATTGCACCATTTAACAAAATGCACAAGGGGGAAAGTTTAAGTTTTATTTTAGAGTGCAATGGATTTTATCTTAACCAGTTGACATCCGCGGTGTTAAACCCCCTTCCCATCCAGGCCATTTTTCAGTATTCAGCACTGCGGTACTTTGACTGACATTTATTCCGTCATGCAACGCTGTACTGAAATGAATTTTATACCATTTTTTGATGACAGATAGAGCTTTCTTTTGGTGGTATTTATTCACCACTGGGATTTTTATTTGTTTACTATATTAAGGAAAAATGACCGTAATTTAAAAAAAAAAAACAGTTTCCCCTATATTAAATGATAAAACATTTATTATTACCCAATTTTTTGGTAAAATATAAAAGACGGGGTCACGTCGAGTAAAAAGACACCAAACATGTCAAGCCTATAAGGGTTACTGAAAAAGAAACACAAATACAAAAAAACTACAGTTTTTAAACCCCCCCCACCCACTAAAAACGTAAACAAAAAGTAGACTATTTTTTGAGAAATTTTGTAAACACAGGTCAGAAAGCCAAATTAAGTATTATCGTTTGTGAAATTGCTCTAAAATCACTCCACTCATCCCTAAACAAGAATACTTTATTGAATTAGTTTGGATTTGCCTGTAACAGACAGTCACAGAAACACACAAGGGATTATAAACTGCGTTACAGGATGATTTCTAGACTTTCTTCTTTCAGTTAAGTACTAGATCATCTTACTCTTCTCTCTCATTTGTCTACTTATTAAAAAATGTTTCAAACTATTTTTCAAAATTTTTAGTCGAATTAAAACGAAGAGTTTGGAAACAAAACTTGACGCAGTGGTGAGTCATGGTGGAATTTGAAAGAGCAGCGTGCCTCAGAGAGGTCTGAAATATCACCCTTGCATCTGGCTTCAGATATATTTATAGCTGACTCATTTGGTGTGCCTGGGACATGAAAACTTGGTTATGATGTCCACTGTTACATCTGCTGTATGAAAGCTCCTGGTAGTTTCTAGAGATAGAAAATGGTGACTTCAAAGCCGAGGTTCACCTTTTGAGTAAGATTTCAATAATAAATACAATATATGCTGGGTTGCTTTATACTTATGGATCTTGTTCAGGTATTCATAGTGGATGTGAGGACGTTTCTGTAAAAGGACTTACAGTATCTCACGTGGCGAGTTTCAGCCGGTTCTTAATGAATTCAAAGCATGTATAGCCTACTTTAGGTCATTGTTATACTAGTCATCCTGACACTGTTGAAAACTCACAGCAACAGGGTTACTAGGAGATCAATTCACCAATCATTGCATCTACAGAGTTGTGCTCCCATTGGCTAGACCAGTGAGGCGTCACTCCGTCACTGGTAATTGAGATTCTGCAGTGTTTTGGCCATCAATGGAGCAACACTGAAGAAGCAGATAAGTGTTCTACCAAGCAGTTATTTTGCTGCAACAGGACCTCTAAACTGATATAGCCCTTGTGTGTAGTCCAACCAAAATGAGTCCCAAGAGTCCAGAAATGTATTCTGCTTATTACACAGGTGTCAAAAAGGTAATGAAAGGCATGTTATTTAATCTAGTGGGCTGGATAAATTATTCAGAGCAAGGCAATTATAATATATAGTCAGCCGATGTCTTTGTTGAGCAGGCTCCTAGAGTCCAAGATATTATATAACAGATGTCAAAGCCCTGATGAAGGGGGATGTTTTTGGCCCCCAAAATGGGTTGGTTGTTTTTTGTTACCCTTTTTGACATGTGGAATTAATAAAACACAGCTCTGGAGACTTGATACCTGTTTGGTGTTCATTCCACTTCAGCTACAAATAGATTTCTCAAGCCAGATGACCCCTAGATCAGGAGGACCCCCACTTTGAGAACGGGAGCCGAACCCAAGCAATTTTAGACTAAGGGCTTGCTCGCACCAATTGCGGTGCGTTCCAGAGGGGTAGCTGCTGGAACGCACCGCAATTGCCCACAAAACGTCCCCATGCGTTCTATGTACCACCACTCCCCCTCCCGTCCCAGAACGCAGGGGGAGGTTTTGTGAGCAATTGCGGTATGTTCTAGCAGCTACCGCTCTGAAACGCACCGCAATTGGTGTGAACAAGCCCTAAAAAAAGACTTTTCACCCACAAAACAAAAAATGTGTATTGGCTTTAGTCACTCTGGACAGGCATGATATGTTTCCCCGGTTACATATTTACTGGAGCATTTATTATTTACAAATAAAGAAGCAGATTATAAAATAAAGAATTATTATTTACAAATATGTGTCCATTCCTGGATTAGGTAATTCAGAATAGTATTACTTTAAGCTGGCTTTGGAGTTTTTCTAAAGTTCAAGAGAACTTGTGACGCATGTTCTAACAAGACTGTACAATCTGAGTTTTGGTAGACCAATAATGAAAGGTGTGTGGGCTCATGTCAGATCCATTGCATTCATAAAATGTGGATGAGGTTGTTTGCAATATGAATTGAAAAAGTAATTTTTTAATATTAGAGTGTAACGTTTTGCTATGCATGTCACAGTCTTATCATACAACCTCTTAGATTTACCAGCCATTACGTAGCTTGAGTGTCCACGTATTGGTTATAAACTGAAAGGAATGTTTAGCTAGACCCCCGTAATAAATTGCTAAAGGCACATCCAAAGGTAGTTTCACAGTGTGGACGTTGTGGCTTTATACTGCATGCCGAAAAATCCTCTTCACTGTCAGTCTGTCCAATTGTTCCAGACTATGTGTAATGAACCCTAAGAATTAACCATAGGGGGTGCAGAGGGACAATTGCTTCTGAGGTCATGAGGTCAGATGGGCTAAGTTAGAGTGTATTTTTATTTTTAGATGGAATGGAAAGGATTAGATTTTCTTTGAGTTTGAGTTGCTATCCTGGGCTCCATTAGAGAGATTTCCATTTACTTCCTAGTGACAACGCTTATATCGCACAGGAAGTGAAGGACAATCTGCAACAGAGACATAATAAAAAAACTCAGAGGGGTTCCAGCCTTTCTCTACTCCACTAAAAAAAAAAAAAGCATTTTTATTTCTGTGTTACTGTTTAAGAGTTCCCCTCCTTCCTGTCCAGCCCCGGATAGCTGCAAAAACCTGTAATCCTTCTCCACTCTGTTCAAAGCTGAAAAAAGCTTTGGCTTGACATTCAATGTATCCTTTTACTGAGATATTGACCAGAAGCTAAAAGCAATGTATCGTCTTCTCAGGTTTTTGTTTAGATATATGCGTGATCTTTCTCTATAACAGAACTAGTTTGATGAAAGGATCACATTTTCCACAAGTCAACTGTAATAAATGATTGTTTTGATCATTTTCAGTAAAAAAAAGAGCAGCACATCCTGCTGAAACCCCCATTTAAATGTAATACCATGAAATATTCTTGTTACATGTATGGCTTGCATAATATGGATCAGTAATATGTAAATAGTGTTAAAATAATATCGCCAGCTAATGACGTTATCAATGTGTGCTAATATTTTTGTAAACTTTTTTTGTGTATAGCTTGTTATTATGTTTGTGTATGAGCACAGACACAGTTTCTCATTGCTTACACTGGCCCTGCTTTATGCTTTGTAGTGCTATACAGTGGTTGTGCCTTGCCCTTATACTTCTTTGAACTCTAGCTTCATTCAACGTTTTTGTGGAACCACAAACCTCAGCCCTCCTGTAAGGTTTTAACAGAGGTGAAACTCTGGGATTTCTGTCTGCATTGGGCATACAGGGTTAATTTCAGTCTGTAGGAGAAGTTCAGAGGGCAATAAGTCTACAATGCTAAGACAGATAAGCAAATGCTTCCTAGTGCACAGAGGGGGATCTGTGACTAGATGATCCTGAGGTCTGACTTCAGTCCTTCTATACTGGAAACCTTGCAGTTTATTAGCACCCCTAATGGGGGCCCCCTCCTACCCCAAGCACCATAGCAGCCAAGTGGGCTGCTATGGCTACTGTTGTGCCACCGGTCACCAGCACTCCGGTGTTGACCAATAGGAGCTTTTTAATCGCAGAACATAGATGCCATGTTTCGTAAAAATTGGCTCTCCAGTAGTTTGTGGATCAAGCTAGTATTCAAGGCTGGACATACAGTACCATCTGTGCAAATGTCTACCCTCTAGGATTTATGGGCCCATATATGCTGTATTTGAGGTGGGCAGTTCCTGGGAGCCCCCATTGTCTGTTACATAGATCTTGGATACTGCACAGCTCTAGGGCAGATGAGAAGCTGGAGGTGTTGTTCATGATGCTCTAACCATGCTCCTGTTTTGTAGTATGCAATGGCCTTGGACAGCAAGTGCCTACTGCACCCACTATATGGTTTTCCTATTTCCTCTTGACATTTTAGGACTGGAAATGAAGGGAATGTTCTCGGTTTGAGCCAGTTGCATCTTATGAACCATTAGACAATTCAGGGGCTCAAAAAGGCTAATCTATCTATCTATCTATCTATCTATCTATCTATCTATCTATCTATCTATCTATCTATCTATCTATCTGTCTATCTATCTGTCTATCATGTGTTTGTACTTGGGCAGTGGTCAAATAGTGATGGTCCAAAAAATTATTCTGGCACATGGGCCCTTTAGTGATGTTATTCACTCTCTGCCAGTATGTGTTACACTTTACGGACCTTTTGGCTAAAATCTTGTATATGTATGTACTGTATGTATTTCACTTTTGCATTAAGCGCTTTGGCCATTGTTGCCCTTTTATCTTTTGCACCAGGGCCCTGTGAATTAGTCCTACCTCTGGCTGTCCCCACTAACACTGCTGTTGTTCTTTCAGTGACTACATCATTAAAGAAAAGACTGTGCTGCTGCAGAAGAAAGACAGCGAAGGATTTGGCTTTGTGCTGAGGGGAGCGAAGGGTGAGGAATTCTCTGCTATAATTACTAGGGGTATCCTGTGTCGCCCTGCTCTGCTGGACTGAGACTGAGTGCCGCTCTCCACAGAGAAGTGCAAGGCATGTTTTCCTGTAACAAGTACAAACGACCAAGATTAAGCCAGCCGAATACAAGAAGTGAAAGATCTCATCTGTATTACACCTCCGAGAATGACAACCATAGGTATCGCTTTAGCCGGCCTGGCTCATGATTGAGAGCTCCGTTCTGCCCAAATCAATCATTCTAGGCGGCTGCAGTGCTGTGTGATTGGAAGTGATGTATTTTTCTGTCCTGAGCTGATTATGAAAAGCGCTATTCCTCTACGGTACCTCTAATGGCCTGAGCAATTTTTGTTTTCCAGTGGTGCATCTGTTTAAACAAGTGCTACATTAATAACTAAAACTTCCTCTAAAAAAAAACTCTGCCTCTCCCCCAGGAATTCTTTGACCAAATTATAGACCATAACGAGTGCGGGCTATATATTAGAATCTGATTGCACAATCTCCTATGTAATATGCAAACCTATGACTGTACTTGTATGGTACACCTCTAATCCACCTCCACCCTTTCTGAATTAACCTACACTAACACCCCTGACCCCAGCTTCTTACCTCTGTGTGAGAGCCAAGTGTTTCTCCACCATTTACTTCTTGGGCAAGAATCCTCTTCAGAGTTGGCCATATCTGCACACTGAGACCTCATAGACAGTAACGTGTTGTCCATGAGGCCAACTGAGGTGGCCGCCTTAGGTGGCACACAGCAGGGTAAATCACTGTGCTGGAGTGTCCATATTGGACACTTTGTTCTCTTTGTCCTTAGTGCAGCATTGTAAGCCTGGGCCTGATAAAAGTTACAAGCTCAGAGTTATAGAGCCACTTGCCCAGCCTCTGCAGACAATTGCCTTGTATATATTCAGCCTCCTGGGTTGCACAGCATTATTGGCAGTTGGCATTTGGCATTGGCAGTCACCTGACCATAACAACCAATGATGCTGTGCACTCTTACATCTGCTCCTGCCAACCTGTGCCACTGTGTGGCTTGCACAGCATCATTGGTAGATAGCCCATAGCATCCTAGCAACCTGTGATGGGGAGAGGGCTACAATAATGGCTGCCTCGGGTGACATCTGCCCCGAGCATCTCCCTGCTTATAAACTTGCATGGGGTCAGCCTGGGACACTATGGGATAGCCCCATACAAATATATGGGGTCTCAGTGGGCAGGGGAGGCTGACACAGAAGAGGATTTCTGTAAAGAAGTAAACAGAGCTACAGGACGTGGCTTTGCTGCAAAGCAAGTAGGAAGTTAGTATAGATTAGCTCAGAAGGGGTTGGTAGGGTGCTGCTAGTATAAAAGTTCAGGTGTCTTTTCAACAATCCATTCAATTTGTATTCAGGCAGGCAGGCAGGCAACTGCACTACATTATTGTTGGTAGATCCAAAAAAAGATTGTAACCTGTGAGGTCAATTTAAGTATCATCTCACTGTTTGTTTGAGGCCAGAGCCAAACAGTGTTTGCCTCATTCAGAAACGTAAACTTCTGAAGTTTCTTAGGTTACATTAAAGTTAAAAGGAAATGTTTTAACCTAAATATTTTAACAACCATGTTTAATCACATGAGCCATTTATTTACAAACAGGACATGTGTTGTCCTTGATTTATGGTGTGCGGACACAATATTCTTCAAATACTATAAGATACAATTTTCCAAAAAGAAAAAGGATTTCTTTTCCTTTATGGGACTTTAACGGTGTCACAGCCACATTATGATAAAATAATATTAATAATACAATAATGAACAATATTTTACAACTATTTTATTTTAAAAATAACCTACAAAAAAAGCAAGAATAAAAACACATTTTTTCCATTCTCGGTTACGTCTTTGGTATTTTTAGTACATTCTGACCTCATGAATCCCTAAATCGTGCAGGTCTCTTTTACATTATTCCCTTCATTGTCAGTTGGTTTAATTGTAATCATGTGTTTATTTTGATACTGACCTAAATTTTGGGGTCCCCTTTTGTTATCCTTATAGTTTCAACTTAAGAGATGACTTGCTGTAGAAAGGCCCAAATATTAGAGTTCGTTTGTAGAGATTGGAATCTTGGGATTTTTGTTTAGGGGGGGGGGGTTCAAAAGCAGTGTCTAGCCCTAAATTCTCATCGTCACACTGTGCCAAAAATAAATGTGTACCTGTCTCATAGATCATTGTCATCATTGGTTTCTGGGTTGTTTTCATTTAGAAGTTGTATTAAATCCCTGAGGGCTCTAACGTCCTTTTGTTGTGTATTCCTTTAAAGTGACAGTAAACTCAGGAGTTAAATCTTTAGAATGCATTCAAGCACCCTAAAGCAGAACTCCAGCAATGTTTTTTTTATTTGCCCTTGCTGTGGGGCTACCCCTGCACTGCACGGGTTAACTGTTCGTTTGTGTCTAGATACTAAAATAAACAAAGATATACTCGCCCAAAGTTCCTAGCTGGCCAGCTGTCACAGTGCTCCCTCTGGCCTGTCCCCTCCTCTGCAGATTGGAATGTTCCTCAGCATCCTTACATCTATGCACAGTGTGTAGACATGATGATTTTGCTGGACCATAGACCGCTGCAGGGGAAGGGAAGAGACACTCTAAGAAGCTGTCTCGGGGCTTTGGGTGAGTAATCCTTTTTGTTTTTTAAAACTAGACCAAATGAGCAGTTAACCCTTGCAATGCTAGTGTAGCCCCACTGCAAGGATTTAAAAAAAATCCTGGAGTTCTGCTTGAACTAATAACAGATTTGGACCTTACTTGTGTATCACTCAGCTGTAGGTCCTTAAATCTTCTCTGAATTGGTGCAGACACTGTCCTTCCTTCTGGAGGGGGGCTACTTTTGTTCCCCATGGTCCCTGTGTGTGTTGTAACGTAGTCACCGCTCCAACCTCACTCCTGTGATAGACTACAATCTCATGTAATACTGGGTTTGTTTCACTCCTGGAGATATCAAGCTCTTTGTAGATAGCCCTTTTTAGAAGGTTTGTCAACCCCGCCTGTAACCAAAACTTAGAGTAGAACAAAGAGTGTGCGAACTGTCTTGCAGATGAAGGCAGCTCAAGGGTTAAGCATCGGCTGGGACAAACCACAATATCAAAGTTTTAAAGAAAAAAGAATTCTATTTATTTCTAATCAAAGACATACAAAAAACATTGCTGGACACACGGCTGACAGTTTACTGTCAATTGGTTAAAAACGATGTCTAGTCAGACTGACTTTGATCGGTTGTGAGGTGGATAAATGTACCCTTGATTGGCCGTACATGTATCTCCTATATTTCTAAAGTCTGTGGATTATTTAGATTTTTGATACTGGTATGTATCTATTTGATCTTGTTTAGTAACGATGATTTGGATATGTCAATATATTCTTAAACTAACCTCAGTTTAGTTGACCCCTTTTTATTCCTTGTTAATCCTGTGTGTTACAATTTCTTTGAAAACGCCGCTTTCAGAGATTAGGTGGATGACCCAGAGACTGCTGGCTGTACAGCCCTAATATTCTGGATCAAAAGTAACGAGGGGATTAAGTCAAATACAATAGTGCCTGCCTGGATCACCAAACATCCGGATGCCACATCATCAAAGGGGGGTTCATTTGGGGGCAAATAATGGCAAAACTTTTATAAAAAATATTTTAGAAAATTAAATTGATGAAATGCCTGATGAGGGCAAAATGAGAGACCCGGTTTTAGTACGTCAATCTCAGATGGAGATAATTCACAAAATGTCAGCCACTTATTTATGAATTTGCAGCATTGATGTTTAATGGCAGGAAAATGCAAGTTTGACCATGATAGAAGCTTATTACTTTCCAAATGGGAAATGTTGTGGGAGTAGAGGGAAGTGAATGGGGCTGTAAAAGCAAAATAAAACACACACACAATCTAATACACATTAATGAGCATAATTTATCTTTCTATGACAAATAAGGACCTCTGGATTCAAATCCAGTTCCATATTATTTAAGGGTATGAGGTCACAGCATGGAAACTGCAAAATTGCATCTTTTTTTTAAAAGATGCTTTTTATTGGTGTTATCAAATATTATATAAATTAACACAAAAACAATAATCCAGGAACAATTGTCATACAACATACATGCTTACAGACTCCAGAGCGGAGGAGAGAATCCACAGGTAGAATACAGGTTCATTACAGATGTATTATCAGACATATCAATTGGCTGCAGTACACTTTAGGGAATGTGAGAGAGGACCAAGAACTCCAGTTTAAGACAAAGCACTAGGTGCATTTAAATGAAATCTAAAGTTTTATTAGAAGAGGAGAGCCAGGGGTCTCAAATGCGAGCAAAGCGAAGCAGGTTGCCCCGCTGCTCATATGTAAGTTTATAGAGGGGCAATGCCTGATCAACCAATCGATTTCAGTCACCCATGGAGGGAAACTTAGGGCTACCCCAGAATAAGAGAATAGCCTTTCTGGCATAAAATAAAAGTAGGCGGAGTAGTGTCTGAGCTCCCGAGGCTAATGGCAGCTCACCAAACAGACCCAGGAGGCAAAACGCAGGGTTGCATATGTTGGGGAAACCAAGGCTAGCCTCCATGAAGGAAGTAACCTAATAAGTTCCTTGTAGTAGGTGGAAATCAATTTAGAGGACCTATCCCTGCGCAACATCTCCTCAAGGCAAAATTGCATCTTTGATGTCAAGTAATTATAAAATAATATATAGTAATGTGAGATTTGTTATCTCTTTGCAGCACAAACTCCAATTGAAGAATTCACTCCAACTCCAGCCTTCCCAGCGCTCCAATACCTGGAAAGTGTGGATGAAGGGGGAGTGGCCTGGCGAGCAGGGCTGCGGATGGGAGACTTTTTAATTGAGGTACATCCATTCATCCAATACTTTCACTTCTCTTTCTCTCGACAATAAAACTATTCATACACAGCCCAGTCAGCCTAGAACTTTCTTTTCTGAGTAAAACCAGCTAAACATGGATTCTCTGTAGCCCCTTTTAATTTACCTTTACACCATATTTGCTGCACAATTTTAAGGTTATATTTTATTAGTTATTCTCCTTTTTAAACTGTTTTGCACATCAGATTTTGCTGATTGCTATAGGCGTTAAATCTGTAGCGCTTTTTATTCTTTTAACAGGTCATTCAATGTATTATTTTATATTAAAGAAATGTAAATAGCTGATATGACCTGGGATCAGCCTCTTGCAGTTCCTGTGCAACAGAGCTCAGACTGGCAGGGGGCGTTGCAGCACAGGGATCCATGAGCTGTAGAGCAGTGCTAATAAGAAGCATGCTGACACGAGCAGAGAGCAGACTGGCAGAGAGAAGAGCCCATCAGTTTGTTGCTTCTCCTTTTACTGTCTGTAGTGTAACTTAACTGCAACAGAGAAAAAGCAGGTATCTGGCCCTGTCAGACTGTACTGTATAGCAAAGCAAATCTCAGATCTCGATGGACAGAAATACAAATAATTTGGCAGGTAAACATCTCTTATATATGTATTTTATCTATATCTTTAGCTGTTGGTGGAGTTCAGCTTTAAATCCACCCAATTTATAAATCTATGGATAAGATATATTAAAAATGAATTATAAAATCCAAAGAAGAAATTAATACATAGGGATGAGCACAAGTTAAACTGGAGCTCCCCTGAACCCAGAAGGGACATGGGGCCACCCACTGAATAAGCTAAGGGCTGAGGCATTCCCCACTCTGCAGATGCACATAAAAAAATGGGCAGGATGTATGTGCTGATATCATTGAACTTATATGGCCATATTAGGTCCCTGTCATTCACCAAATATTACCATGTGACCATATAAGGTCAATTACATCACAACATCCCACTCTTTTGCTTACGTGCAGCTGTAGGTAGGAAGTTCCCTAGCCACAGCAGATTGGGGGTAGTGTAAGGAGCTCAGAGAAGCCCAGGTTTGGACCAATCAGGTGTTAGTTTTTATTTTTTTAACCTTTAGGGCTAGTTCACACCAGCCTCGGTCCGTTCCGGCCTGATTGTGGCTGGAATGCACTGGATTGCATTCCGGCCGGCTCACCTTGTTTTGGGGCGGGAGGAGGCATGGCTGTCAGCCATACGGGACACGTGTGGCACATCAGTACCTGTGTTCCGGTGCAGTCACAAAAAATAGTGCATGTACTACTTACTGCCTTGTCTTTATTTTGCTTGTCTTTGCTTCATTTTCCTCAGTAAAAAATAGCTTCTAGTTATACAAGTGCTCCCAATCATGAAACCAGAACTTGAATTATTTAGCACACAGAATATGTGATCTGTGACATGATTGCTCTTCTTAGGTGAATGGTCAAAATGTGGTGAAAGTTGGACACCGACAAGTGGTAAATATGATTCGGCAGGGAGGAAACAACTTGATGGTAAAAGTTGTCATGGTGACCCGGAACCCTGAAATGGAGGATGCCATGAGGAAAAAAGGTACATTAGACTTTTTTTATTGATTTGGATATTGTTTTAATACTATTATCATCGTCTAGTTATTGATACTTTGTTACTGTGGGGTTTCATTTGTTATCAGATTTAGGACAGGTTTTGATTGCAACATTTAACACCTTAACACCTAACCTTTATTACTTAACCTTAACCCTAATCCACACACCCTTAAGGTACTATATATCTAAACCAGTGAGTGGCCAACTACAAATGCCAACATGCCTCTGCCTCTGGGAGTCATGCCTGTAACTGTCAGTCTTGCAATGCCTCATCGGACTTGGACTTCCACAACAGCTGGAGGGCTGGAGTTGCCCACCCCTGATCTAAACCCAAGAACACATATTTTATTTAACTTCTTCCTGTGCTACCGCATATATACATCTATGGGGCACCACTGTTGTCTGCTCAGTATGCGCTCATTGCCCGTTCCCAGCACACTGACCAATCTGTCACAGATAGCTCCCAGTCACCATAAACAACTAGCTCCCGATCATATGACCCCTGTGACAGCCAATCAAAGTGTAGAGATGTCACCAGCACATCAAAATCCTTCTTAGGATAAACAAATGTTCATTTATTTAAGTTCTTTGTCATATAAACAAGCGCTTTTGGGGCCACACAGGGTCCCTTCATCAGGCTTAGCATTGACAATATAGAATGTACTCACCACACTATAAATAGTCAGACTAGTGCATGCTAAAACCACTATTCAGCAGTTGATATAAGGTATACATCTAATACTTACACCCATCCTACTGTATGTGATAGTCAATATTTATATTGATGTTTGCAATGTTTTTGGCGGGATTATGATGTCATTATGACATCATATCATTATCAGAGGGTGTTCTGATTCTGTTCTGGTTGTTTCATGCACTAGTCTGTCTACGGTAACTGGGGGTCAGGATGGAAAGCGGTAGCAGACTGAGGAAAGTCCGTTCCTAAACCTGCTCTGTGATGAAAGCAAGCAGGAAGCAGCACTGCCAGCTGTCAGAATGCAAAGGAAACGACAGTAAATTTCTTAATCAACACTTGTAAGCATTCATGGAGGAATCTGTGCTATTTTCTTCTCTCAGCCAGCAGGTTGAACGAAGAAAATAGAAGTGTGTATACCCGACTTTAGTTTGTATGTTTATTATGAGATTGAAATGCTTTGACTCTGAAGGCGTAGTCATTTTAAAAATCAAAAAGTGTGTTTTTAACAAACAAATAAGTTTCATGACACCAGCAGTGGTTTAAAATCGACAGATATGACATCTTTATGAAAAGCATTTTTTTCTTTATTCCAGTGCCCCAACAAACAAAGCGTGTTACTCCTCCCGCAATATCACTACGTTCCAAATCCATGACATCGGAATTGGAGGAAATGGGTAAGAGCTGCTCTGTATGGCTTAGGACCTGTCAGGTCAAATGGACGCTCTGCATGAATGTCTTTCTATCACAGTGGCTTTCAGAACTGCATGCTTTGCTGCATGACCAAGACTTTTTCTGTACATGGTACTGACTCGTTTCAAGTGAAACCCGTCACAGTTTGTTCTATGCATGAAACTGAATATTAAGTCATTGATCATAATTGTGCAAGTTTGCTAAAAAAAAGTTGGATACATAAAACTACGTAGGTGAACCACATGTGAATAGCCAGCACATTCCACTCTGCAAGCTGTTTGCGTCTAGGGGCGATCATCTGTCTCTAACTGCAGGTAATCGCTCCATTTGCAATTGTATCTGAACACTCGCGGACAGCTGCTGCCACTGTGATTGCTTTGAACAAGCTGAGTGGTGGCAGCTGTCTGGAGCCATCTGTGATTCCTGCCACAAGAATCCACAGCCGGACCTTTTTACCCCATGTGAATGAGGCCTTAGGGTTATTATATATAAAAAGTAAAAGGTTCCCTGTTCAAACACTTGCCACATTGTCACCTTCCTAAATTCATCTTGATACCTTACTGTTTTCGAATGATTACAGCTCAGTACATACAAGACTCTGTTACATGAGACGCTAACCACACATAACAATCTGTACAATCTCCTTTAGATCTAACAACATCCAATTAGTACAAGTGCCTGCCTGATTGGATAGATTAGGTAGGTCCTCATATTGCATAGTTTTGGTAAATCTAAAGTTGACTGTACAAAGATTGTATGGTCAGATTCTATGGTGTATGGTGACCCTAATTCAGGAGACAAAGTGATATCAGCATGAGGATAGGTTTTTGGTGGAGCAGCAACTGTCAGACTTCAGGTGACCTTTCATACCTAATACTGGCCCAAAATAATAGGCTCATTTCACAAACCCTAAACACTAGGATGGATATACCTAAGACTAAGGGGGTGATTTACTAACCTAAACACACGCACGCACTAGGTGCGTGTGATTTTTACACAGCAAAACGTATTTATCAACCAAAAAGTCTCTAAAAGCATATTTCCACTAATGCCATATATGGAAAAATCATGCACATGATGCATATATAATGCTGCTTCACAGTTTAGACAAAAATGGTTAGCTCATGCATTTACATTCCTGCATTCATCAACGCAAGCAACACAACATAGAGCTAATTTACACAAGATCACCTTGCAAATTCATGCAGGGCTTTGCACAACACACCCGCTGGGTGTGTACACACTACAAAGGTGTCTAGATTCCACCAATAGATCATGCTGGGAGGCAACACACTACAGAGGTGTATACATGTTCGTGGTGTGTTTATAAGGTTAGTAAATCAACCCCTAAGACTCATACACTGTTAAAAAGTCACTCAATTTCCTCATCTTTTCTGAACTGCAAATGGATGGATCCGTGGATGGAGGTATCTCCTCTTCCAGCTTTTGTATTCAAACAGCTAGCATGTTGATGGACTTTGAGCTTATGTTGATGGCATCAATTTGATATCAGAATCCATTGACCAGTACCATTGGCCAGCAGTGGACCTCCTTCTGACCTGCATTCAACCTGCCTCAAGATGATTTTGCATCCCCATAGACATTTGTATCAATGCAAAAGGTGCTTGAAGCAAAACACTCTTTGGCACAGGCCATTAACTTTGTGCTAAAGCTTTGTGAATTGAGTCTATGGCAACTTTCAGGTGATTTTAGCCTCTTTCAACCAGTGTTTGATAGAAATACAGTAAATCAATGCAACCTACCTCCAACCAATCCTGTTGACATTGTGAAATACATACATTCCTTGCCATAGGTGTGTACATGAAAGTGTAGTACAATACAGTATTTGTATCTAGTGCCTCCCACCTACAGTTCTAACAAGGGTGAAAACCTGGTACAGGTTCGAACCTATCCCCAATAAATGTATGAGTTCCCTTTAATGAAGTCCAGCCATTAAAAATGGATACTGCTAGAATGTAATCATTATATAAAGCATTGCAGTGTATGTATTTACAGTGCAGTGCTGGAAACAGTGCAGCAAACTCTTTGTAAATGAATGAACAAACATGACATTATTTATTATAATTATGCAATTATGTGATGCTGCCTCTAAATGGAAATTAAGAACATAGAGAAGCTGTTTATTTTACATTAGATTGTCTTTAGGGGAACCTACTTGGCTTGAAAGATAATTCCAAGAAATTTTAGGCCAAGCAATTAATTGATTTAGATTAATGTAGCTAGATCAGTTTGCTTCTGTTATAGTCACAGGCACAATGAACCAGCTAAATCTACTGTATATGTTATAATATGATACTTTTGCCCTTAAGTATTGCATTACATCCAATAAGTCAATAGGGCACTATTTATTATTTACACAGAATATAGCTAAACTAAAAATAGGATGATATTTAAAGTGAACCTGTCTTTTTCAGGAAATGTACGGTGAGTGTACATTCTTTCTGTGCACTCCCCTGCTGCTGAGTTTCCCGGCCAGAGAGCTTTCTCAAATTTAAAACCTGTGAAGACCTTAACAAGCTTCTCTCATGCGTCAATGCTCATGGCTAGTAAGGCACTGAATGCTGCATTATAGAGATGCTTGGGGAGTTTTATATATTCCCTCATACCCTCAATGGATTTTCCCAAGGCATTGGAGAGTATGGCTACCTTATGGTGCCGCCTTTGCAGTGAGCCTATTGCTTTAGCTACAAAGTTGCTTTGAAAGAAAACATGGAGGCTCGGACCAAAGGATTAGCAATACATTCTGTTTAGTAGCAGAACAGGTTTCCTTTAAAGTGGCCCTGTTCATTGCCCATGCAGTTTACCTAATTACACCCACTAACTCCCCTTCAACTTGACAGTGCTAGTGCCTGCCTGCTGAGACTCCCAATGCTGTCACAAATGGGCAGAGAGAGAGAGATTTCTTAGTTTTGGAGAAAAAATATGAGTATATGCAGCTGGGGAGGGCTGTAGTTAAGTAAACCTGTGGCTTTGCCATGCATGAGCAAAAAATTGATTCCCTTTACAATGGTAAAGCCAAACCTTTTTTTTCTGGCTATAGTTCTTTTAAGTCACTGATGGACATTTACTAATGTCCTCCTGTGACCCAAACTTAGCAAATAGCAAGTTACTGGCCGCTATATGCTGACAGCGCAGCCAGGAAAGATACCCACAATATTTTAGGGATCCACCCCGCTGCCTGATTGACAGGTGGCTCTGCCTCTCTAGAGCAGAGCCAGCTGTGGCTGCCCCCTCCCCTTTTCTGTCCCTCCAGTGAGTTCTGCAGAAACAGAGAGAGGAGGGGGGGATCCCTGCAGGGAGCAGTGACTGATCACTGCCCTCTGTGGGGAGAAGCCCCTAGCTTAACGATCAGCGGTTGTTGATTACTCAGTTCTCGAGCTGATGTGCGACAGCCGGCTCAAACGATTGGGAAGAGTATATTTTACTCTCCCAATAGTTCTCCTTTAAGGACCCTGTTTTTTAATATCTCCCAGGTTTTGAAATAGAGATATTATAGCTTGTTATTAACGGTACAGAAAAGAAAAGCCACAGATGGTTGAGATATAGTGAAAACAAATCCCACAGTGTTTCAGTGTTGGGAGGGTGATGTGTAGGCCCTCTGTGTGTCATGACTGCTCTCCAGGACATAGCAGTATACTCTGCAGAATACTATGTTCCAGGCCAGCCTCCAGGGAATTTCTGCCATTAACTCTTAATGTCTTTGTGCTAATTAAACAGGATGTAAGCATGTTCTGCTTGGAGCCTGTTCAGCCGTGCTTGGTCTCTTTCCCATGTTTGGGATGTTGCAATTTGGTGTTTAGTTTAAAGAGAAAATATCATTGACTTCTTGATATGTTCCATGATTGTCACAAGAGATTATTACAAATTCTTGCATACATTCATGTTAAAACATTTAAGAGGAAATGTCAAACAGTAGTCCTTAGTGAATGCTTTTATATCTGAATAGAACAAACATTGAGTGATGTAAACAGAATGGGGGCATGAGTCTTGGTTTAGTATATCGGTTGCTAAATGTAAACATTGGGATATTCTCCTTTATAAAAATACCAATGGTAGTCAGAAGTAGTTAGGAAATTTTGATTTAAATTTACACATTTTTATGCATTTTGGATATAAAAGCCTGACTACAGCCAGAACACTTTTTTTTTTTAGCTTTGTATAAAGTGAGAAAGACTTGTAATCCCTTTCAAATTTGTATAGCTTTCTGAGCGTTCACTTCTTCGCATTTGTTTACTGGGAAGTCTAAAGCTCTTAAAATTTCTCTGTTAAACACAAGGCTCTGCTGCGCAATATTATGATGGCATGTCCAAGTCAACAGATGTCACCATAAAGCTGGCATACAACTGCATAAAACAAACATGCATCACTTGTCAGCAGTTTATCACCGCACACCCAGCAATACTTACACAGCTAATCCGTAATGGTCCCCAAGCATTATATTCCCCCATGCAGCAATACATGTCTGCCCCATTAGTATGATTCCCCCAGCAATATACCCCCATCTAGCAATACATGTCTGTAAAGTCAGTATGGTTTCCCCAGCAATATATCAAGTCACGCACCCGGCATTGCATGTCCACCCCATGAACATAGTTCCCCCAAAGATATATCCACCACCCAGCAATACGTGTCCACTCAATCAGTATAGATCCCCTAGAAAAATATGCCCCACCCAGCAATATACTGTATGACCACCAAATCAGTATTGCTCACCCAGAAATATATACCCCACCCAGCAATATATGTCCAATCAATCAGTATCGATCCCTCAGCAAAATATGCCCCCACCCAGTAATACATGTCCACCAAATCAGTATTGCTCACCCAGAAATATACTCCCCACCCAGCATTACATGCCCACCCAATGAGTACCGCTTCACTAACAATATGTCTCATACCTACAAATATCTATACATTTTTATGTCTCATACCCAGCTATTCATGCCAGCCCAATCAGTATGGC